GCGTTGACCTTTGCGGTATCAGTCAGCTGTTGCAGTTTCTGACCATTAAGTGGGACATTCCAGCAGATCCTTTCATAGAGGCTCATTCAGAGCTGCAAGACAGAGAATTCATAATATCTCGGCCTTTGACTGCTGTTGAAACTCACACCAGCTCTTCTTCTTCATTTGTTTTTATCTCCTTCTCTTCACTACAATTACACGTCTTGTTTAAAATGAACAGGAAAAAAAGCAGCGCCCTGAGAATATATTTATAAATAGTAGCTCGCCATGTCTTGCAAACCTGATTGGATTTCCTGGTTGGTTGCGGTCACCACAACGGGGGTTGATTTACTCATTACCTCGGTTTCCATGTCAAGGACACGCTGTTACCTCTTGTATGCCAGCAAATTCTTCAAAAAACATGATTCATGTGATTCCTGTTTGCGTGTTGTTCCTCGCTAAGACAGGTAGCCAACTGGGTTACAGTGTCAGAAACAGGAAACGGGAGAATTCTTCGGATTATGTTATTATGGACGTGTATAGTTGTACCTCAGACGGACAGTAATAGCCAGTACCTCAGTGTGTTTCCTCTGTCCTATAAAGGAAAGGGCCACAGACTTTATGGAGCCTTCATAGCTGTCACTGAATGCAGCTTTGACAAAGGCTTTGGAAACCTTTTTAACACAACATTTTTCCACTGGCACTGTAGCTGCAAGGTTGCAGCACATTTTCTGACTCAAGTCCTTGAGATTCGGCTGCGAGTTAAACTGTAGAACTGCATCCTTGAAGTTGAACCCAAGCAGTCCAAGTGGAGGAAACAGTCTCTATTACATCTTGGCCACTATGTCCCACACAATTCACTCTGGATCTCTAAACCCCAAAACAACTCAGTAAGCATGTTTCTTGGTCATATTTAGGTCAATAAGCAGATTAAAACCTTTTGTCTGTATTACCTTACATAATTTTTATTACTAGTTTGTATATATGTCGCTGCACAATAGGGTATAAACATGATTCACAATTACATTTCTACTGAAAAAGTCATAATGATGATGTGACATTTGTTGGTACCAAACAAACAACGTTATAATGCGGCTTGTCAAACATTTCATCATCAGCAAAAAATCGATAAAATTAAGTAATAATGAAAACAATGATATTTGAAACTCTTGTCTGATGCATTTTCAGTTCAGTTAATTTAAATTGTATTTCAGCACCGATTGGGAAATTCTGGGCCGACACCGATTTATTTGCCCCTGTTTTTGCCAAGTAAAAACAAATAAATCTACGATCTAAGATAAGTATCTCTGCATTATTGCAGTTCCGAACATGGAGCGCATACTTTAGATATTTGCGTGCAATTTGTGCCAGTGCTGGAAATCAGAGGTGATTATTTATCCAATATCTGGGAAATGGAAATAGCCAAACCAACATTTAGCCGGCGCTAAATTGATGCGACACAACAGATAAATATCAGCTGATACCGATGTTCTGCCGACAAACAATTTCTGAGCCCAGTTTTGACTTTAATGTCTTTTGACTTGCAAGCCACTACATTATACTCATTGTGAGGAATAAGTACATTTCTTCTTTTATGTGTGAGTGAAGATATTTTAGTTTTTTCACTCAAATATATCAACCCACATAGAAGAGGCAGTTCTTCTTACTGTAAATCCCCCAAATTTGCGGGATACATGATTGCTGACCCCCCCTCAAGCACTGCTCAAAGCATTTGGAAAAACTGCCATTGGTTGTGGTTTGGAAGAACTTTATCGTTTTCCCCTCCATCGCTACAAGACTGAACAGCAGCTTTCTATATTACATCCTTAACTTGCAAAACTATGTATTTGTCATCTTTTTTTAAATCTTTATCATACATTCTGTCTCCATCTAACTTCACATTGTTTGTTTTGATTTTCACAGTCATCCATCTCCGAAAGCTAAACTTGGAGAAAAGAGGAGGTGGTGGAAAGGGAGGGGGGGGTCTGCTAATGTTTGTAGTAGGTTCGATAATGGTATTTTGACTGGTCGAGTTTGGATAGTTCCCACACATATTCATGCACACACAAATGCAGGCATAGGCGCACATACAGAAACACACACACACAGTCCCTCCATAAACTTTCTCAGGGGATAATTTAAGGACATTGTCAGCGGAGTCGAACAATCAGTGGGCTCAGATAGAAATCCCTCTTAAGGAGCCAGAACCAGGAAACAAGAGTGTTTATTTTGGAAATGGTTCTCCTGCTCCTGCTTTATCATAAACAATAATACTCAGAAATGGTCCTTTCCTTTCCCTCCCGGTGCCAGGATCCGCATTCCTCTCCCAAAATTGTACCTCCAAATGTTTCTCTTAAATACCCAGAATAATCTCATTTTACATGTTTGTGTTTTTACTTCTAATCCTAACCAGAGACACGTTAAAGGGGACTTGGGCTGTTGGTTAAACTCAGCATTTGTGCTCATTCAGCTTAGCTCACCTCAAAGGTATTTTCAAGTCTCTGAAAACAACCGAGTGTACAAGTCCATGTCAACTGAATTGAGACAAAGGTTTAAAGTAAATCGAGTGTGTGAAGTCAAGAATTAATCTTGTGAAGTCTCAAATCTATTGAGACAAGTTTCACTCAAGTTGGAGACATGTCAAGTCTCCCGTCCATCAAGACAGGTCTAAATCAAGTCTCGAGTCGATCAATACAAATGCAAGTCAGGTTTGAGACTCGTCAAGTGTCAAATTTAGTTAAATATCAAGTCAAATGAGACAATTCTAAGTTAAGAACAAGTCTTGTCAAGTCCAGGTTACGTCTCTAGTCAACAAAACAAGTCCAAGTCAGGTTTGGTTTCTTGTCAACTCTCATGTCAATTGAGCCAAATCCAAATCAAGAGTCTTGTTAAGCTTCAAGTCAATTGAGAAAGTTCCAACTTAAATTTGAGACCTGTCAAGTCTGAAGACAGATGAGACAAGTTCCAGTTAAGAACAAATCTTGTCAAGTCTCATATCTATTGAGACAAGTTTAACTCAAATTAGAGTCTCAAGTTGATCAAGACAAGTCTAAGGCAGGTTTAAGACTAGTCAAATTAAATGAGACAAGTCCAAGTCAAGTTAAAATCTAGTTAAATATCAAGTCAAATGAGACCAGTTCTAGTCAGATATAGACCTTGTCTTTAGTCTTTAGTCAACCTAGACAAGCCCAAGTTAGGTTTGAGACTGGTCAAGTGTCAAGTCAGATAAGTCAAGTCAATGTCAAGTCGAGACTAGACAAAATCAAGTATTATAAAGCCAAAGTCAAGTTCAAAGTTTGAGTCTTGATAAAAACTTGACAGGGACAAATCAAAGAAAAGTCTCAAGTCATTCAAAGTTTGAGTAATGTCGAGTCAGCGTCTTTCATTGTTTTTACTCTCTGTACGTCTGCAGCAGTATTTCCAACTGAAAGATATAGTTACCTCCATAATAGTCCATTCAGACTCTGAGAAAGGAACATTTATACCTGTCTGTGCTTTCTCTCTCTCTCTCTCTTTCCTTGTTTTTAGCTCTTTTTTTTAGACTCTTTATGTTTCTCTTTCTGTCTTGCCCCCCATACACACTCACATCTATCTGCAGGGGGTTGAATTGAATCTGGCTAGCATCTGGAATCGGAAGTCTGTATAAGGGAATTAGTGAATATCATGGGATACTCTGGAATGTCTGGCTTCAGATCAGACTGGAGAACTTACTGTACACGTTAGATGACTTTTTAATGGCAGCCCAAAAGAAGGCCAAGCAACATTTTAAGACGCTATTTCCACAGAATTTGGGTTGGCAAGGTATCGCTTGCTGTGAAGGTCTAAAGTTTTATGTGAGCTCTGATCTTCCAAGACACTTACAAGTGTGGTTTGCGAATAAGGATGTCATCTTAGCCCTCTTGCCCGGGTAAATCATCGTATTTGGACATAAAAACCAGCTTTAAATTGAGGTTAAAATGATGCTGTAGTCAAACAAGAGGAGGTTACCAAATGGAAAAACTGACACACTGTATAAAAAAGGAAATTACATCAGCTGTAAGAGGAAAAGGATGACGACCTTATCTATGTTGCACATTTGTATGGTCAGACTAAAATAGTTCATTCAGCAAATACAACACCGAAGCATATATTTACATTTGGGCAAAATTGCCTACGTAAAAAACTGTTGTTGTCAGTGCCAACAAATTGTAAATCTCCAAAACATATCCAGTTTAATGGTGACCTCCAAACAAAAATGCTGCTTTTAAAGACAGAAGACGCAACAGAGACACTTTATATCAGTGAGGGTCGACTAAATTTTACACACACCTCTCAGAGTAACACAATAAAACTCTATCACCACACCTACAGCCTCAAAAATGACTATAAAAGTCATTTTCAACAAAAACTGAACTTTATAACCTTCATAAGGGAGGATTTCATGCAGGGCTGTTGTATTAGTTTTAGCTAGGCGTACCTAATAAATTGGCTATTGTGTGTATAAAGTGGGCAATTTGGTCATTATTGCATTTATTCAGTTGATGATTGTAGAGATGTATATATAGGAAGAAGAACTAGGAGTGTAAAGATATATTGAGAGAGCGTTAAAATGAAGAGAGTGAAGATTCAAGTCTGTGAAATGAGCATTAAATCGGGACATCAATCGTGATATTGTTTTCAGTTTGACTTTTACAAAGCAGTTTATACCCTCAGAAATCCAAAAAGGATTCTTTCATTTGATTAAAAACATATATAATTGTAGATTGTTAGAGAAATAAATCTTTTTTAAGTCATAATTTGTCTTAAATCTCATTTTGTTAAAGAAAAAAGTGAGAAAACTGTATCATGAATTCATTTAAATGAGAGTTGTGAGTGTAATTGAGGCTCAGCAGCTGTTAACACTAATCTAACTATGTGAAGAATTATAATGGGAGGTAACTTGTTGATCACAGTTGCATTTTTCGAGCTCAAATTGTGATTAAAATCTTTCTTCGTTGCTGTCGTTGATCCTCACCTGAGTCTTCTCCCTCCCGTCTCTGCAGGCGCAGCGTTCCTCTCATCAGGCCTCACTCCTGGCACCTGGCAAAGCTATCGGAGCAACCCCTCCCTCCCCCTCCCCCTCCTTCCATCTCTCCCTCCGCGCCTGCTCCCCCCGTGCCCGACTCCCCTCGTCCCCCCACCTCCACCTCTGTCTGCCATGCAGCTCCACCCCGGGCCTTACACCATTTACCCTTGCACCACCAACGACAACAGGTTGGCAGTGGCTTGTTTTAACATGTTGGTTAAAACATTAAAATGATTTAACTTAATCTCAGGTGAAGCAGAAAAAGAGTTATTCATCCATTTATGTGACAAGAAATATTATTGTTACATGGCAAAATAACAACTTCCCAAATGTAACACATTTAATAAGTAAGAATAGAAGGCATTTTCTTCTTCTTTTTTAGCTTAAATTAGCCACAGAAATATTATAACACTAATTAATGTAACACAAATGCATGTTAAAGCATTTAATAGTTAAGAACATCTAAAAAGTTTGCATTAAAAGTGATTATTCATTGAATGGACGCTTCTCACGGTTGCAACGCTTGATGTGAAGTATCCAGATATATCCTCCCTTTCTGGTCATCCCACTTCCCTATTGCAGCTGATGAAGTTGTCTCCACTTTGACAAGACAGGAAACCTATTCCCAATTGTGCGACTGTGTTGTCCATACTTGTAGGCTTGATCACACACGGCTGAGACTGGACTCTGGTCGGACATTGCCGTTAGTCACTGCGGGAAATTTTCCCTGTTGACTCGCAACGGTGCCAGGAAACAGGTGACATCACCGTGTTGTAGTGCCAACACTGCCACGCAGGAAGCCCATTGGTCTATTCTGTTTCTTATTTAAACCTACCAACGTGTAACCAATCTGAAAGCTGTTCTTCGTCCGGTCTGTTGATTTAACGGGCGAAGAAAAGTGGAAACTAAAACACTTTAATTTGTGTTCAATCAGGATTTCTCTGAATGCCATGTGTAACGTATGCAATCTGGAGGATCCATAAAAGGTCTAAGGTCCAGTGTGTAACAATTTAAGAGGTTCTACTGGCCCAAAAATGTAATATAATATTCATAGGCATGTTTCATTAGTGTATAAACTCACTGGTTATAGGAATCGGTTCATGTTTTTATTTACCTTAGAATGGAGCTGTTTTTTGAGGCTACCAATCGAGTCTGCCATGTTCTGTGGCACCGTAAGTTTCTCCAACCAATTCACAGCACGTTCTCAATCCCAGGTCGTAAATACAGACGCAAAAAAGGCTATGTTCAGTTAGTTAATCTGCATCTTAACTGCTAGATACCACTAAATCCTACACACTGGTCCTTTAAAATGTGTTCAATCTTTGCATCTGAAAGGCCTAAAGTGGTTCCCATGTGGGTATCCCAATGTATAGTTACTTTTTGGCGAGTTTCAGCCTCTTCTTGTAAATATCAGGTTTAAGTCGTCCCAGCATTCCCACATGTTCTGGAAAACATGGACATTCAGAGACTAGTTTTTCCATTCATTGAAACACCTGGAAATTCATTAAATGCATTAAAATGACCAAAAATACTGAAAATATTAAGTTTTTCTGGAAAATGAATTAGTTATTTGTATTTAGCCCCTCACTCAGTTCACCTACATAAACCTGAGTGCGGATTTTGTTCGAAACTCGACTGTTGGTAGGATCCGCTGTTTGAAAACTGGAGTTAAATGTGATACTAGACTTACTGGTGAATTATACGACTGTTTGTGAGCAACTGCTGCTTCATAAAAAGAGCGGGAACCTTGTAGTCGACTAGACTAACTGACATTTCTACTGCCGAACCTTTGAGGATAAAATTAGGTGGCTTTGAAAAAACAAAACATCATGTTGAAATGCATTCAGCTCTGAGTTTAGTAATATGTGCAAAAATAGCATTTAAGTAAGTTAGCAAATGATTCTGGAGAGTTGCTATGGTCTTGTATGTTTAAAGTTAGACTATTTAACTTTTGCTGATCAGCAAAACAAGAGAAAATTACAGGATAAATAATGTTAATGTCCTTTTGAAGTTACATTAGCTGCAATAAGCTACTGGTCAGGACCACGACAAATGATGGCTGTAGCATCAGAAACCCACATGAACGATGTAAACTGAACAAGGGTGTTTAGCTTGCTGGTTATGCTATTGAAAGCTTTGTCATTTCTTGTTAAGAGGAATTAATTTCTTATTTGCGTCTTTGCACAATCTAAATACAACTGATTGTTCCCTTAACGAAAGCCATATTATTATATATATAATATGGTTTTTTTGACCAACTAACAGTCCAAAAAAAGACTTGATTATCAAAATAGTCAGCTTCATTTAGCATCTGTTGATTAATTGATTACACAACTAACTTGTTTCAGCTCTAAATTTAACGGATATTTTTACATCTCACTGTGAAACAAAGTGGAACAAAAGACTGAATTGTCCAGTCAGGTTGAATTAAAAAAGAAGGTGATGTAAGCTCAGCAGCCTTTGTGTTACAGTATGATCTCACAAAGCAAAACTGTAGTCCTTTAAAGGGGAAAGAGGAAGTTACCATCGTCTGTATATTGACTCAATAAAAATAACCGTCTTTGTTTGTCATCGTCCGTCAGGGCCTTGTACTGTTCTCCTTTTGATAAGAATCGGTGATATAAGGCACCACTATTAGATTTAATAGTCCCACATGGATTAGATAGCGATGTGTGCGCGCAAGCATGTGTGGGTCTCTTATTCCCACAGTTTCTCCTGCCTGATCTCATCATACACACACACACACACACCATCTGATGAGGAGGCAGCTCCCGGCATAACTCTGGACAATGGCATGTGACTCCCAGAACATGTGGACAAAGAGAGGAAGACATTCAATAAACTGTGTTTGTGTGAAGGACATTTTGTACAGTCTGTATCTATGTGTGTGTGTGTGTGTGTGTGTGAGAGAGTTAATCTCTATACTGAGAAAGTGTGTGTGTTTATATCTGGGTACTAAAACAAACCACGTAAGAGTGTTTGAGGATCAAATTTTTTTGTTTTGACTCAGTTTTGAGTCTTCATTCATACAATATGTGATGAATTAATTGACACAATCCAATGAGTCTGGATACACACTTCCCATCATGCACAGTATTTGTGTGTGTGTGTGTGTGCGCTGGTTTATCTGTGTCAACCCTCACACTCACATGTTCCACATGATTGGACAGGAGTGACTGTCATTTCCTGTCCAGCTCCTGTCTCATTTCCTCTTTTCCTCTCGCTGTCACCCAGGTCAAATCTATACAGCAGCCTCCCCGTTCTCATTCATCGCTCACTTCCTTCAAAGGCGATTTTCTCATGCAGATTATGAAACCCCCCACCTCCACCCCACCCCCACTAGTGTATTCTTCCTTTGTTACAAATGATTAGTATCTTTTATAATATGTTAAAGGAACATTTCAGTTTATACCTATAAAGACAGACATTGTTTTCCATTCTCTTCTGTACCTGTAAATCAAGTAAATAACTCTTTAAACTGCACTTATATGTAGCCTGTCACCTTCAGGTTCCCATTAAGTACTCTACACATAGTAAGCTACTCATGGCAGCTTTATTATTACCCAATACTC